TATAGTATAGTATAGCACAGTATAGTATAGTATAGTACATTATAGTATAGTATAGTATAGCACAGTATAGTATGGTATGGTATGGTATGGTATGGTATGGTATGGTATAGCACAGTATAGTATAGCATAGCATAGCATAGCATAGCATAGCATAGCATAGCATAGCATAGCATAGCATAGCATAGGAAATGTGTAGTACTCAGACATGGAGTGTTTAGTTTCCTACTTTCACTAGGCTCTTTGCCGTAGTGGAGGCCAAGGTTCTTTTACAAAGAACATGGCAAGAGAGGCTTCCATGACACTCAAAGCTTAGGAAGAAAGGTAGTTTGTTAGATGGATAGTCGAGCATTGCCTCGTCCTTGTAAGAAGAAGAGCAGGGAAGGAGTGGGGAAACACTGTTTTGTAACACAGTGCTCCAGACCAAGCAGTTTAACAGCAGAGATTGAGTTCCTCACCGTCCTGGAGACAAGAGTCTGGTGTCCTGCTTGGTTTCTGGCATGCACACGGCCTCTGCCATGATCTGATGTAGCCCCTGTGCATGTGTGTGCAGATTGTCCATTCTGCTCGGCAGCCCCAGTCACAGTTTACATCGACTAGAACCACAGGTGCTCCTTTTCCCGGCAGCTTATCAGCTCTTTAGGGACAGCAGGGGAGAATTAAGAGCTGGCTCTGGGTCCGCCACTTGCTAGCCATGCGACCTTGAGCTTATCTATCACCTGACTCTCAAAGTCCTCATTTATAAAATCGGAATAACGGCACCGACTCCATTAGTTACAAGGTTCGAGAGCAATGTCGTGAGTGGACCCAGCACAGTGGCGATGTGTGGTAGTGGTCCTCAAAGACTGTTTCTCAGTGCTCAGCGACCAGTAGCAGGTAACTCAGCACTGTTTTGAACCTGCTGAGTGGTGTAGCTGGAAAGGTTCTAATTTCTCCGTCTGTCCAAAACATGATTTCTTAATTTACATAAATCCAAGAAGCCATTTGAGTTCAGCTCCAAGATGAGTAACTCAGGCTCACAGATCAAATTAAAAAGCATGGCAGCATGGTGGAGAGAGAACAGGAATCCATGACAATAAACAGACAACATACTCCTCTAGCCAGACACCACCTCAGAAGGCCCCACAGCTTTCCAAGTAGCACCACAAGCTGCAGACAAAGCATGAAAACATAAGCCTGGGGGCTGGAGAGGTGGCTCAGAGGTTAAGAGCACTGGCTGTTCTTCCACAGGACCCAGGTTCAATTCCCAGCAATTACATGGCAGCTCACATCTGTCTATAACTCCAGTCTTAGGGGATCTGGCACCCTCATACAGACATACGTATAGGCAAAACACTAATGCACATAAAATAAAAATAAATAAATTATTTAAAACAAAACATAAGCCTATGGGGACATTTAAGACTCAAAGTGTAACAAGACCTAAGCCAGATCAGGAGTCCTGAAAGCTGAGCTGGAAGAGAGGGTGTGTGGAGAGTAAGGATGTGTGGGGACTATACAGGGAAGAGCGAGGAAATGGATGAGAGGTGTAGACTTAAAAGAGAAGGAAGATCAACAGGTAGGGAAAAACCTTTTCCTCCCCAAACTGATGCACCACCTGGCAGCTTCCTCAGAGATCATACATCTTCACAAAATGTAAAGAGTTATTAATGTTTAATTATACTTTTGATTGAGTGATTTAAAAATAGCCTTCTAAGATACTTTTATTTGGAGATTATAACTTGTCCTCTTCTTTTCTCGAAGGTGGCAGAAAGGGCACTCTATTATTGGAATAATGAATACATCATGAGTTTGATAGAAGAAAACTCGAACGTCATCCTTCCCATCATGTTCTCCAGTCTTTATAGGATTTCCAAAGAGCACTGGAATCCGTACGTGTTCAGTTTCCTTCAGCCTCCCCTCCTCTTCTTCTACCCCTTCCCTTCCTTTTGGTCTTGTCTCCCTTCCTCCTCCTCCTCCTCCTCCTCCTCCTCCTCCTCTCTTCTTTAGGAAAATGTCTCACAGATCACCATGCACCAGGTGCTGTGCCCATTGCTAAAGGTGCACACAGGACAAGATAAAAATCCCTCCTGAAAATTTGCTGATTGGGGACTGAAAAGCAAACAGATATTTTCACAAAGTAGTGCTATTTAGTTCAAATACCTATTTACTTGAGGCTTTCTTTCTGGCCTGTCTGAAGGTCGTCAGGTATATTTGGGGAATGTACTGGTGCGCCAAAGGATGTGCATTGGCTGACAGGACTCAAATTAAATTGTTAATTTTTTCAAGGCAGTATCTTACTGTACAGACCATGCTAACCTCAAATTCATGATCCTCCTGCCTCAGCCTTCTGAGTGCTGGGGTAAGACTGTGTTTGGCTTCAGCTAGAATGCTAATGGAATTTGGTTGATGTGGGTGATAGGGCAAGCCCTTTCAGACAGGGATCCCTGTGCCGTGTAAAAAGGCACCCGGGTCTTCAAGTGTCCATCAAGTTCCAAGGCCCGTGGGCTCCGGAGGGCAAAGTCATGAGGCCTCTGGGTGAGCAGTACTAGAGATGAGGCTAGAAAAGGGAGCAAGGCCCGCATGAGCCTTCTCCAAGGGCACCATCAGGAAATACTGAGTGGCTGTAAGGAGATGGTCTGAAGAGATCTACATTTTATAGGAATATCCATTTCCTAACAGTAGCTCGGTTGTTAGATGTTGGAGAGGGACAGAATTTTACAGTTGAGGACAAGTTGAATTTAGCCCTAGGAAAGCTAAAGTATTCTATAATGAGATGCCTTTGCATGTCTATGCAATAAAGTTATGCAGCATTGAAGAATTAGTAAGTGCAATTCAGTCTATCATATCTGTCTTTTAAATTTTTGCATGGAGTTATAAAATAACATTTTCTTTCAATTTTTAACTTGTTCTATATTAATAGAACTTTGAAAAAGAGTGGTTAAGCCCTATTGTACACATTCTCCCGAGGGTCTTGAGAGCAGCTGTGGGCAATGTCAGTTACTGCCCAGTTCCAGTCTTCTCCAGGGCCACCCTGGGAAAAGACCATTCTTGAGCCTTAGCTAAGTTTCCCTTCCCACTGAGCAGAAACTGCAGTGGACACCAGACCTCCCACTAACACGTGACCTCCTTAGTAAGATTGGAGAGTTTGTTGCAAAATGGAAGCAACCTTGTATAGTTTTGAAATGGGAGACACCATTTTTTTTGCCTAGTCTGACTCTTTCAAGCTTGTCACAGAACAATCTTCACAATGACTGTACAAAGAGTGTATTCTGCTTGATAAGAGTTAGTCCCGCCTCTTGGCTTCTTAGCTGTGTAGTGTTCCATAGCCAAGGGCATCCAGCACCAGTTTGACGGTTTTCAGCATGAGTATTGGGTCAACAGAAGGGCTGAGCAGGAAGGACAGACTAATGTAACCACATTGGGACAGCATCTTGTAGGGGCTTGGTCACCTGTCTTTGAACATACATGGTTCAGATACTCATTTCTTCTAGAACAGTTTCTGACTTTAAATTATGTATGTTATTACTTTGAAAGTAATTTTTTTAACCACTTGTACTTGTTTATAGGATGTAATGCTGTGTCTTGTTGTTTCTTTGTTTTAAGATAGTCTCCGTATGTAGCCCACAGTGGCCTTGAACTCTCAATGCTCTTACCTCTTACCCCCAAGTGCTATGATTTTGGGTATATATCATCAACCTCTGTTAACTCTTGTGTGTGTGTGCACCAGCCAGCCTGAGCTATCTCCCCAACATCTGAAGCAGCTTTATTTTTATACTTGCCTTTTGTTATGCATTGGCCATAAAAAGCATGTCTACTCTGGGTACCAATAATTTGGAAGGGCAGATTTGGGTTTTAATTTTGTCATCCCTCAGGAAGATTGTAAACAGTAAAGAATTCAAATGAACTGTAGGTCCAACTGAAAGGGGATAGGAAACCAGGTGTGGTGACACATGCTCATAGTCTCAGCAAGAGGTAGGTGGAGACAGGAGTATCAGGAGTTCAAAGTCATCATCAGGTACATAATGAGGTTTAGGCTAGCTTGTGCTACGTGAATGTGGGGAAGGGATTTGTAGGGAGCAATGAGGGTAATAAGGTTGGCAGAGAGTGTAGGAGGGTTATGATGATCAGAATGCACTTTGTAAGAATATGAACTTGTCAAAGAGAAAAATTCAGGGGAAGTTTTTTATGTATATATAATAGAGGAGGAGCTAACTCGTACCAGAAATGTCCTTTTGCTTTTTGATTCAGCACCCCATTGTGAAAGACTAACCGGTCCTTTCTCTTTCTCTGCCTCGCAGGGCTATTGTGGCACTGGTGTACAACGTGTTGAAGGCCTTTATGGAAATGAACAGCACTATGTTTGACGAGCTGACAGCCACATACAAGTCAGATCGTCAGCGGTAACTTCTTAAAGCTCTTTTGTCTGCTGTGCATAAAGCTATTGAGTCCTTTCTGAACTCTTTGCTAAAGTTGTCTAGTTGCACATCAGATTATAAACAGCAGTTTATTTATTTACATATTCTATTTCTGCATGCTCAATAGCTATGTTCTCATTAATGTGCTACCAAGTAGATGGTTCTCTGATGGTCTGATTTTGATGAAGCCCGCTGCTTTTCCTCCCTTGTTTCTGTTCTACCACAGGGCGCAGAGCCTGGCACATCCCTGGTCTTTCAGGCCTGCTTCAGGGAATCATTAGGTAGTCTTCTAGGCTGACTCCTACTGCAAGCCACCCAAACTAAAATTGGGTTGACATACTTTACTCCAGCACCAAGACCAGGCACTATTTACCCAGAACTTGCTTTCTAGTCTAGAAACCAACAAATTCATTACAACTTATAAGAGTAGTGAAAAGAATATAAACTGTATTTGTCTAGTATTAGAAAACATTGAAGTGCTTAAGATTAGAATGGAGCAAAAAGTCCCATTTTATTTTCATTATATTATATAATAATAATAATGATAATAGTTAGTATTATTTCAAGGCAGGGTTTCTCTGGGTAGCCCTGGCTATCTCAGAGTTCACTTTACAGATTAGGGTGGCCCCAAACTCAGAGATCCACCAACCTCTGCCTCCCAAGTGCTAGGAATAAAGGTGTGCACCTCCATGCCCGGTTCAAGTTTTATTTTTAATCCAGTATTTTAAACTTTCTAAAAAATGTTTCCTTACTTAGGATTTCTGTTGCATCCATGGCAACTCGATAAAGGAAAGCACCTTGCTTATGTTTCAGAGGTTTAGCCCATTATCATCACGGCAGGAAGCATGGCAGCACACAGGCAGACATGGTGCTGGAGAGGTAGCTGAGAGTTCTACATCTGGGTCCCCAGGCAGCAGTCAGAGAGAGACACAGGGCCTGGTGTGAACATTTGAAACCTCAGAGTCCACCTCCAGTGACACCCTTCCTCCAACAAGGCCACACCTCTTAATAGTGCCGCTCCCTGATGACCAAGCATTCAAATCTATGAGCCTGTGGGGGCCATTGCTGTTCAAACCCCACAGATGTAATGGAGAGATTGAGAAAAGCACAGGGTTCTTAGTGGTTGGTTCTCTGGCCTGACTGATCACGAGGATGCAAATGTTGGCTCTGTAGGTCCTAAAGGGTGGACCCTAAGGAGCCCGAGTAGGACTGGGAGTGTTCATACCTGGGACTTTGCTGAACCTCACAGAAGGGTGCTTTCTGTTTTTTTTTTTTTTTTTTTTTTTTTTTTTTTTTTTTTTTTTTTTTTTGCTTTGCCGTATTTAGAATGTATTAGTTGTGTTTT